CCTGTAAGTTTGTCTTCGCATTTTTGTGAGTGACATTAGACATATATCATCCGCGGAATCTAGATCTTCTAGACTCTTCTTATCGGTGGTCCAGCATATTCCTGTCTCCTCGCTCCCTGCATAATGGAGTCCACCACAATTCAGAATATCATCGGTGATAAAAGGAAAGATAGAAAGTATAGGCAACATAATTCCAAGGATGATGTCAGTAGACGGATTATTTAGTGTTAAAAAAGTAACTATTTGTAGTGTAAATAGACAAAGGGAGTAGACGTCAGATTTCGCTTGGATTGACAAGAGACAAAATACAACATGGATGAAGAGAGTGAATTTATACGTATTATGGTGGAGAGTTCATGAGGGTCGGGGTGAATAGTGAAGTAAGATTATAAAATAGGTAAAACAATTTTAGTAGATTTGGAAACTTAGCAGTGAGTTCAACTCAGTCAGTAAGTGAAAATCAATATCAAGACTGAGTGTAACGTTATGCAACAGAACAAAAAGCAAAATCACACAAACAAAACAAAACAATTACGGTCCCCAGGGTAGTGAAAGATTAGTCACACTGTCTTTCGGTGTATAGAAACTGGGTTGAAGGTGTTTAATAACAATGGCTTATGCGAACCGAAGTAACCATGGTTTTCTTTGTGTATTGATTATTTTGAAGGCCCGACTAATTTCCGGTGTCAGTCAATTAGGCGTTTGGCAATTGCACTTGAGAACACTTTGCTGCCTTTCAAACGGAAACTTTCAGGGATATGGTTGGAGAATCTAGTAGACGCTCTGCTCTCAGTCCGTCCTATGTACATGCTGACCCAAGTGCAGGTGAAATGGTAGATGCATTTGGAGTTGACATGAGCAGGATAATTTTGACTGAGTTAACCAGCATACTGTGTTGTGAAGTGGGATCAGTCTGGTGGCAGGAAATGTTCTTTCCAGTGCCCTCTTAAATTATTTGTTCGGCTCTTGGGAATACTTCTTCCCCTTAGCACGCTATAAAGGTAAAAACTGGGTTTTTTTTCAAGCGTTTCTGGCTTCTATCAAGGTGTTTTTTCACTTCCGTACTTTGATATGAACTTTCACGAGTATCCATTCTCACTATGGTCCTTTTAGAAAACTGCGAGCTCACCTTCAATCTTACCTTCTGAACATAATGCCCTAGCTCTGCTAAAGATCATTTTTTACTAGGCTTCGTTTGCAGTCTATTGGGCAAAAGCTGGGATAATTCAGGAACTCACCTGTCGAAAAAAATATACTTCCTATTGAAGTCTGTGCTGAAGACATGCTGTCTAGATAAAGACAATGAGAGTTTCGCAATTAAGCCATCCAGATCAGATCACACAAGTGCATCAATATACTGCTCACAAATACTTGTGTTAGTTGCACACAAAGAAATGAATTCTTACTTAGCCAACACTTTCTATTCTATACAGTTGGGTGAGTGACACTACCTGGCTGGCCAAACCTCGTTAGGTAAAGCGGCGTTCGAGCACGTGAGAAATTGTTTGGAAGCAGAGTTCCCAAGCCAGTGGGCCACAGAGATCGACCTACGTGCATTTCATAACTAGAAATCCTTAAGAACTGTTAGTCAAATGTGTCTTCAAGGCAGTCCCGTTGTTCTACTTCAAGCTGTAGTAAGCGCTAATGACAAATAAACTTAAATTCTGTATTTATACTTTACTGCTTTGCTGTTGTAATACTTCACTTGCTCACCGTATCAGAAGAATCTGCAACACCGTGTGATAAGAAGAACAGATATTACTTCACAAAAATATGCTAGCTCAAAATGGACATCTGATACGTTTTCTGGAGAACATGAAACCGAAGCCAAAAAGAGAAGAATGCAGTACAGTGCCAAAGAAAATGCTGTGCATGGACCTGGACTTCAGGTGGCACTTAGCAGTAGATATCCTAAAGAGGAGAATCTCAAGATAGACCTTTCCTGCAGTAACGCTATTAGTAACATTCTCTAGACGTCAACTGTTTCTAAGCAATGTAAAGGACAAACTCCTACATATGACCACTCTAATGTGCATATATCAATCCACCCTGCTCTCATGAACCTAAGTACGTTGGCAGCTTTATGAGCCTCCTTTCGAAAAGGCGGCACTTCGTCAACGCCTGTCACAGCATCTTAACTGACTCATCACTCAGAGTCATATACAGGGTGAACAAAAGTTGACCAAAGGCAGCGTGTGTATTTCCAACTTCTTTCTACTGCAGAAGATCTCATCATGTGCATCGGAAAGCTGGAGCTATGTATTCAAAAGAAACTAGTCCAACCTCTACATTCACTATGGATCTAGTTTAGTTCGACTCCTTAGTTTTCGTCTATTCGCCTTACCATTCCCTTCGTTTTCAAATCTTCAGTTATAAAAAACAATCTGTCATTTCAGTTTGTTTCTAATGCTCATCCCGTTCATACCTGTCTTCGTTCACAACGACTTAATATATGACGCAACTATTTTCTCATCCTGTGTGATTTTGTTTCTAAGCCCCTTGTAATCTATATATTCACACCCACAAACTTTCATATCAAGCTGAAAATTATAATCACTTTTAACCTCCTTTTGTTATTATGTTGAATTGAATAGTGACTATAACTGCGTAAACTTATAAATATACCATTGTACAGCTTTTGTGAATAAAGTCGCTGAGAAGAAATTTTTGCTGAACTTCTTGTCTCCCAAATGAATGTACTTACAGAAGATGGTTTGTAGGAGTTTGACTGGATTGGTTACACAATTTCATCATGAGCTGATATCAGTTACAGAACCAATGGGAAACTAAGGAGTACTGGACAGCCAGCTGTTTTGTCAGTCTAGTTTGGGACTCTTCAGTAATACACACCCACTGCCAGGACTCGAACCCGGATACAAGGCTAGCGAGCTCGTAGACCATTGAGACCCGACCTAATGGCTAGCCAATGAATTCCAGCTTCTGCCAATTCACGATATAGCGCGACTACTAGTACTTTGAAACTATAATTTTAAACAACAAAAGAACTTTATTCTACAAAACCAAGCACCAGCTTTTTGAATGTACTACAACTTGTAAATTAAGTCACTTTTTTCTTTCATATAAAGCTGAGTAATTCACGATTTACTTACAGTATAACTCTCCTGTGCAGCAGTATATAAAGCCTTACAATAAACAGTTATCACCAGAGTTCATCAATAGGGTATTCCCAGGAATACTTATTCCCAACAATCTTAATTAGCTTACGATTGAATAAACGAATAATACACGTGTAGTAGTTGAATGTGTGGCGGTGTCACAGAGGTAGAGTGCTCGCCAACCACGCCTCATGTGGTTCCGAGTTAGAGCGCCGGCCGAAGCACTCCTTTACCTCGCTAAGCCAGTAGTAAAACTGGTAAAGAGGGAAGGTTAGGCATGACGCTAGTAAACCCATCCTGTAAAGATAATCACCACTGCTACAGAAACTTCAAGCCTCTAGCTTGAAGCCCCCTTTGTTCCACTGGGAACGTAAGGGAATAAAAGATAGTAGTTGAGTAATATTCAGAAACAAAAGCAGAAACAGTAAACCAGTTTTCGCAATTATATACGTACTGTGGTTATAGACACTTCAACAACAGGCAGTAATTAATCTCAACGGAAGACATTTGAATGAGTTTATTTCTTTTACTTATGTGGCCTGGTAGCATCGTTTCAACTATAAGTGGCGGCATAGATGAAGACGTCAAAGTTAGCCAGCATCCTAGAAGCATGACAGACCTTAAATAATCTGCAATTAGTATGTGCACTCTGCAGAACAAAGAACAAGATTCGGATTCTGTTCAACACACGAATGTCAAGTAAATCCGTCCGTCAGTCCTTCTCCATAATTCAGAGACTTGGCTTACACGTCGCGAGAAGCATTTTCAACAGTCTCCTACAGACTTCTATCAACAGCTATCCACTTCCCTGGCTCCATAATCAAGATTAGATGGCCGGAAAGGATTGACTAACTGACTGGTTTCAAAGCAGAACTTTGCACCGATGTGCAGCAGTTCGAGTCAACACACTTCACTAAGCACACAAAGCAAGAGAAGAAAGTAGAAAGAGATCCAAAACAGAGAGAGAATATAAACAGAAATATGAGGCAAAAAGAATAGTAATATAGAAAAACAAGTTTTATTGGAAATTATAAGTCACAAGGAGAAGATGCAACTGCGCCAGCCATTGGTATTTGCCGTGCGGAGGACCCCAGTCAGGAAGTCTACACTTTCCTACGTGGCTGGCTTAGGCTAACTGTTGTGGATTTCATTGTCTGATGAAGCCATATTTTGGTTTGACCACTACTGGCTCTTTTCCAACCTAATCCATCCTATTTCAGCTAACACCACCCATCATCGAGGAAGGTAATGGCTAGGCATACGTAACACACGTCCTAACCATCTTAGTGGATGTAACTTCACAGCCTCGTCGACTGATTTCCCCTCCTTGACCTACCTAGTACTCGACCGATGCCTCACTTCAATATAGCTCACCATATTATACCACTTCGCACGGGAGACAGAATGCAGGCACCTATGATCAAGGACAGCTAGCCAGCCAGTCTGTTCATGTCTTGCGTTTTTAATGGCCAGGGCCTACAGCTAAAAAGGAGGAAAGAGCGGACTACTAAGCAGTACACACACAGCCTTTGGTCCACAACCAACCGGATATCACATCTACTAAGCCAGAGACGGTGTAAACTGACATATGCGAAACGAGCCTTCTGTATCCGCGCTGAGATTAGCAACAAGGGACTCTACCAACGAATCAGCCAACAAACAACCTATCACCACCTAACAGATATTCCGAACGGAAATCGGGATGAATTGGGCATACACTACAGAGACTATCAGGTGACATTGCACGCCAGACACAACCTCGAGTTGAACCTGGATAGGAAACGGCAAGGTGGATTTACGTCCAAATATGTGTTGTTAAAGCCTTATGTGTGGCACTTGGAACCCAAAAGAACAATGAACATAAAAATAAGAATAGACACCTAGTTAATAGATAGATAGACATACATATACATATTTATTTATTCAATATTTATTTATTTCGATAATACAAAAGATGAAAGATTTTTGAATAAATGACGTTCAACTTCTTGTCCAAATGTACTTCCAGTGGTAAAGTGTACACTATTCCATAGTGGAATATATTCATTTGATAAACTTATACTAACAAATACAGGACAATTTAAACGTTTCGATAGTTTACAAGATAAATTCTCTTCATATTCACTAAATGAATGACAAGCAGCTTGAACACCATTATTATTATTACTATTAACTGAATAAATTATTGTACTATGCTGTTGAATTGATTCAGTAACGTTTGACGGTAAACACACAGATAAACCTAAACAATTAAAGAAGTAAATACATTACTTAATTTTTTTATAAGTAGACTGACTTACCAGACAGTCTGCCCTCTTCATCACCAATCCATATAAACATGGAACCATTCAATTGAAGAAATAAGAACTTTATTTTAATATTGTACTCTGGTAGTTCGCATACAACATGACGTGAATTAAAAGCTTCTAATTCGTTAGTCTAATAAATACAATATATAAGTCATTATTATTAATAAACGACTTACTTCGTCAGGCATTATTTATTTATATATAGAGAATTTCTTTTTGGTTTTAGGATAGAAACATGCCTTTAGTATTCAAAATATACACCCAACCGACAATAGTGTTCCAACCAGCTGAATTCCACAGTACACTACTAAAATAAAAATGAAATAACGTTATTGCTACTACTGGAACAGCAGAAGGTAAGACACGGAAGTCAAGGTATATTTTTCAGTGATCAAACCGCTATTTATATATGAACAGTTTACATTCTCTAACCAATTACTGAGTGTGTGAGTGATTTCGACTTTCATTAAACGACATAAAATAGAATGTTCAAATATGCATACTATTCTGTTACTACTAATGCAGTGTTGAACTGTGGGAATATATGTGAGAATAATATTCCGTTGGAACAAATTGTCTGTATTACACCACTACTAGACTACTATTAGTAGTATTGCGATCACTGATGAAATCTTTAGTTAACTTAAACGTGAACAAGCAATATTGTTTAATCAATAATTTGAATGCTTCTCATAGAACAGTAATGTCTTATCGTTTTAACTGGGTTCCCCGAACAAGCTTTTTCATGTTCCAGACTATGGGCCACACTTATTGTATAAGGGCTGGTGATACTACTCAGTTGTTCAGGATGAAGTAGGTAGGTCGGTCGGTTTTCGACATAGAACTTTGCACGTATGTGCGGCAGTTCAAGTCGCCACGATCCATGTAGCACGCAAAGCAAGAGAAGAAAGTAGAAGAAATGCATATTAGAGACAGTAAACAGAGGTGTGAGACAAAGGAATAGTAATAACGGAGAACAAAACAGTTTAATTGAAAATCATAAGTCACAAGGAGTGGATGCATCTGCGCCACTGAGAACGATTTTGAGCCATGTCACCAATTGTTTCCAACCATTGGTTTTTACTGTCCCGAGGACCCCAACCAGGAAGTCTACACCTTCCTACGTGGCTTAAACTAACTGTTGTAGATTTCATTGACTGGTGCCATGTTTTCGTTTGACCGCCGCTAGCTCTTTTCCAGCCTGGCTCTATATCAGCTAACATTCCCCGTCGAGGAAGGCGATGACTAGGCATACGTAGCATATGTCCTAACCATCTCAGTCGAAGTAATTTCACCGTTTCGTCGATTGATTTCCCCGCCTTACCTAGCACTCGACGCCTAACCTCAATATTGCTCACCTTATTATACCACTTCACGCGGGAGATAGAACGCAGACACCTATGGTCGAAGACAGCTAATCTTTTCATGTCTTCTGCTCTCAATGGCCAGGTCTCACAGCCATAAAGGAGGACGGAGCGGACTGTTGAGCAGCACACACGCCCTTTGGTCGATAGTCGGATATCGCGTCTACGCCAGAGACGGCGAAAACTGGCGTATGCGAACCTAGCCCTCTGTATTCGTGCTGAAATTTTGTCTGAGATCAACCCGTTGGCGCTGGCTGATGGTACTTCCCAAGTAATTGAAGCGGTCAACGTGTTCTACCACTTCACTCCCTATTTCTAATCTAGGGGTCGATGAAGTCCAATCCTGCAGCATCATCTTGCATTTTACAGGGGCGAATCGCATGCCAAACATACGGAGATTGTTGCTCAGGGTGTTCAGTAGACTCTGCATTTTGTCAGAGTCCTCGCCAAGAAGGACTATATCGTCCACATATTCTAAGTCAACGAGATTATTCCCTGGTAGCAAGTCAATCCCTGAGTCGCTGAAGTGTGTTAGGGATGAAGTAGGTAGGGGGGATTCGAAGCTTGGGCTCACACTGATTGAATATTAAGTGCTGAAGCCGGTGAGCCACATCTCCCTCTTAGGTGGTTAACTTTCAAAAAGATTCTAACGCATTATAATTCAGCCTTATTTATCAAGATTTTGATAGATTATTGGTATTATCAAAATCGAAAATCACTAATTGCATGTATATGCATGGATAGATGTTTACTATGAAACATCACTTGAATAATAAACCAACTTGTATTCAACTCTTTATTTACGTATCCATTTGAAACAACCTAATTAACCAAAAAAAATGTCTTCTTACATGTACACATGCACTCTTAGCAGATACAATGATTTTATAGTTTATATAGTCACTATCCTGAGCCGGTGGTTTAGAGCTTTAAGTCTTGCCGACTACGCACGTGGTCTGGATTTCGACTTCCGGTCGATACATTCTTAAACCTCGTTAAGCCAATAGGGAGCCCAGTAAAGAGGGAGGATTGGATGTGTGGCTAGCAACCCGCCCCGAACCCGCTACTGAAACCTTACTTCTGAAGCCCTATATTCCTTCCGGAAGGTAAAGGAAAAAAATAAATACCCCTTGGGTATCTAACTGTTCATAAAAATATAAACACTGTAGCTTTTGGTGATATCCATTAACAGATATTAATTTATTAATCAGTAGAACTGTATCACGGCCCAAATTGTCACGCTCTATCGTTACACTTTGAGTAAGAGGTACTAAAAGACAAATGAAAATTATACAAGGCTGTTGTATTTTTTTTTAAGAATATATTTTCCATTTTTATTTATTCATTGTACAATATTTCTAGGAAAAATAAGTTTGTTTACTATGCAAAAAGGAAGGATGTGTTGCTTTTTTTTTTAAAAAATTAATATTTACTCAACCACAAGCTAAATTTAGTAGTGACAACACAGTGTGTGGAAGAATAAAAGGAGAACGTGTAGACACTAATATAGTTTTTTAGGTAGGCACTCGCATTAGACACATTATGCAGGAAAGCCTCTATCACTTCCCATTCATTTTGATGGTGAGAGGTCTAATAATGACTTTAGCCCCACTATTATTATTATTAGTATTAATTCCTTTACGTTGCCAGCGGGACATAAAGCTTCAAGCTACGGGTTTGAAGTTTCGGTAGCAGTGGTGTTTATTATTTTTACAGGATGGAGTTGCTGGCCTCATGTTCAACCTTCGCTCTTTACCTGTCTTATTACTGGCTTAGCGAGGTCTGGGAATGCGTCGGTGGCCGGGTATCGAGCCCCGAAACAAGTGAGCGTGTGCCTCCGACGCAATCCTTCAGCCCCACAGTCATGTTTTTTGTTGATGGAATCATCCAATGATGATTCATTAACCCTACCCCACCCCACCCCACCATATATCCTTATTTACAAAACTTGATTTCAATTACTCTGAAGCAGATTTTAGAATATTGAAGAACGGACGACAGTAGTAACTAACATTTGTGCAACAGTTCCAAAGCACTAATGTCATTCCACGAAAGACACCTTTTAGCGTTAGATTTTTATTTTCTAAACTTACGGTACTAGACGTCAATTTCGTATACTGTGCTATGTTAGCTGATATAGGGCCAGGCTGGAAAAGAGCTAGTGGCGGTCAAACGAAAACATGGCACCAGTCAATGAAATCCACAACAGTTAGTCTAAGCCACGTAGGAAGGTGTAGACTTCCTGACTGGTTGGGGTCCTCGGGACGGTAAAAACCAATGGTTGGAAACAATCGGTGACATGGATCAAAATCGTTCTCAGTGGCTGGTGCAGATGCATCCACTCCTTGTGACTTATGATTTCCAATTAAACTGTTTTGTTCTTCGCTATTACTATACCTTTGTCTCACACCTCTATTTACTGTCTCTAATATGCATTTCTCCTACTTTCTTCTCTTGCCTTGTGTGCTACATGGAGTGTGGCGACTTGAACTGCCGCACATATGTGCAAAGTTCTATGTCGAAAACCGACCGACCGACCGACCGATACAAGGCTGTATGATAAATAAGACGATAAGCCAAATACAGTAACCCGGTATTAAAATCTACATGAAGGCATCAATGCTGTCGTGCTACTGAGGTTGATAATAAGCCGTAACATCTGGAGTCAAACTGTACATTTCACTTCAACAATGAGCTACTATGATAAGGCTAATATGAGGGATTAAATATTAACAAACGCGAAAAATTGCCTCATTTGTTTAAATTACTTTCTCCAAGTGCTTCAGAGGTTATCAGGCAACTACTCAGTAGCAGTAGAATTTCGGTTTTTGTAAATCTCACCATACCATCACTTTGTGAATGTTGCAAGACTAGGGTGCTAGGAGAACAGTTCACAGGTAACAAAGTAGCATGAAGTCCAGAAAAATACACAAGACCTTCTACTTTCAGACACCAGTACCGCTAAAAGTCGTGTACTTTATTTGCAAAGGAAACAAGAGAACTCCACTCAGAAACCTATTTACTCAGGTTGTAAATAAAATACCCTAATATTGTTATGTGAAGTTAGCGATAGTTTTTAACTTTAATCTTTGATAGGGTATAACCAACCTTAAGTGATTGTAAAGAGTAAGCAAGTAACGCGTAAATATTGGTAGAAGGCATTGCTTTCTTTTCAAAAACAATTACCTGATAGGCTGACATCACCGAATGCGGCAAGGACAGTGATTTCCTAATTACTTTTTAAAAGAAGCTGAATTCTACTTGTGATCTATTCTATCTTATCGCGACGAATATCCACGTGGAAGGAATACGAGGATTACTGCTGAAAAACCAATACTCCCTACAATATGGAACAGTCTCTTCAAAGGAGAGACGCGCAGTAGGACAAAAATGGTTTTAAAAAATGGAGTGAATAATGGGAAAATAGTGGGCATGGTTAGCGATGAGAAGAAATGAGCAACTTTTGGTTACATAACATGATTTTTCCTATATTGAATGGAATTTAACCGATATTCTACAATTTTGACCATTATTTAACCAATATTTCACCACTATTGTACTAATAGCTTCCAATGATTTGGCCAATATCTTTCCAAAATGCAACCAATATTATCTATTATTTAACCACTACTCAAGTAATTTCTTCCATTTTTGACCATCACTTAGCTAGAATTTACCCATCATATTATCATTTTTACCATATGACCAAAATCTGCCCATTTTGACTATTATCTAACCATTCTTTGTTGTTTTTTTGTCCGACTGAGAGGTAGACCTCGACAACTACAATAATTTTAAAATGCACAGACCCACTGATTATCCTTAAAGACAGACTGTCTGTAAGCAATCTTTGAAAGGAAGAGTTATGAACAAATGCACATGGCGACAAGAAACAGCAAACGACTTGATAAGTGAGCTTGAGCAAACAATCAAACTTCTAACCTTGTAATTCACAAGTTAATTAACTTGTGAACATCGGACATCGTTAACGATGTCCGATGTAGGCAATGCTCACAACTGGTTGTCTAAACTTATGGCTTGAGAGGTAAACTGAAGAGGCAACTAGAGTGACTAAGTATCACACAAGAAAACCAGTGAGCCAGTTACCCATAAGTGTTGTTATCTTACATATCTTGACATAGGCAAACTTATTTTGAAAGGTCAACGATTTTTATTCCTTTACTCAAGATCATTTTGTGGACCCTGGAGTGTTGTATCTATTCTTTGCTCTGAAAAACACAAATAACCAAACTGTCAGAAACCACCTATTGAAAACAACATAACTGTTGAAAAGAATTCAGGAATTCTGACTAAAAACAGCAAAAAAAAACAGACAAAAAACAAATAACCTTAACGGGCGTAAATGTAATGTAACACACAATAGCAAAAGTCACAACCGAAGACGGAAGAACGCGAAAAGGGCGTGAGAGATGTGTATATTTGACTAAGCAAAGCTTAAAGTGAGCGGGTACAAAGCTATTTGTGATCGCTTTCAGCTATAAACGATGAAAGATTTCTTTGTACCCGCACACTTTAAGCTTTGCTCAGTCAAATATACACATCTCTCACGCCCTTTTCGCGTCCTTCCATCCTCGGTTGTGAATTTTGCTATCGCGGGTTACAGTAACTTACACTAGGGAAGTACCGGTTCACGTTCATACAATGTCCAATGTTGCTTTTTAAGAGCTAGTATAAACCAATTTAATTTCTTCGTATTCACTTCTTGATTGTGAGGTAAAGGTTTCTAGACTTCGGTGAAATTCTGCGTAGTTTGTCCCGCCACTCAACACACGTAGTTTCCGTTGACTCCGAAATGGGTGGTGCTGGGATTAATTATATGTAATAAATAAATAAATAAATTTATTCTCATAGTACAGTACATGAGGGACGCCAGTTTACAGGCATCATCAAATTGTTACAGAAATAGAACCATGTAATTCAATCACAATTTACAGGCAGTAGCAAGATATGCTTTACATGTTCGCTGGAGATTATACATACACTTGATAAATGTTGATCCCAGTAGTATAAAACAGCCTTTTCACTTATATACAATCATTTCTGTGCAAAGTTGGAAAAATTTGCTAGATTGTCAGTGAGTGCAACACAACAGGAAATACAGGAGTATTGTCTTCGCATTAACAAAAAAAACCATGTCTTTGGTGGATGGGTTATAAGTGCCTGGGAAAAAAATAAAGCTTGAAGTAAATATTCATACATAACTTTGTTGTGTGCAGAGTCCTCGAATTATAGTTCATTGATGTGTTATTTTGAAATCAGTGATGTGTTTATCTCATTTGATCTTCAATGTCATTGTTGGGAGTAAGTACATAAGCTTCGGACGCATTAATTAATGGATTTCTACTGCTTACGGGTATTTTCTTAGCGTTAGGAAGGTTTATGAGTTTCAGCTGTTCCGACAGGAGTTGAGAATATTAACTGCTCAGCAACATTATGGATATAAGTTCATCACATTATCTAAGGAAAGGTGGGTTGCAGTTGGTGAAGGATATATGGTGCCCAACGAGCGTTCATCTGTCCATGTGATGTTGTGGTGAGTTATACCTTTTTCATGTTGTCGGTTTATGTCCATTTTATTCCACTTATTGTGTTGGGTAGTAGTTTTACAAACGAGATTTCTTGTCTCTCTGAGGATACGTATCTTAACCGTTAATGTTTTATCTAGAATTATAAATATAGGCAAAAAACAACAGGTGTAGTATTTAAGCTTATACATTAAATGGACCTATAATTTCGGAGGCTCTCAGATAGGAACTAGAACTACTATCGTTTGCAAACTCTTGTAGTTTGTCATTAAGCACCTTTCTGAAGGAGGCCAATGTACTTGCTTGACGCATTTCCATTGGCAGTTTATTCCATATCTGTGCATACCTAATCAAGTAAAACTTTTGCCTGGTGGCTGTTTTACATTGTTCGATAGCTACTCCACCCCTAGTGTGTCTTAGTTTGTAGCCATTGTCATCTGAAAATCGAGTGCCATTAGTAGAGGTAAAAACTAAGTGGTTTAGAAGCTTATGGTAAAGTGTCAAGTTTAGTCTCAGGCGTCTTAGCCATAGTGTTTCTAGTCCTAGGGTATCACATCTAGTGGAGTAGTTCGTACCATTTTGAAGTATGCGGTATTTTAAGACCGTGCTGCTACTGCGAACAGATTTTATCCTTTCACTGAGATATTAATGACAGGTATCATTAGTGCAGGTTATGTTGAATGAAAGGAAGAAAAATAAACGTACAAATAGACAACTAACGAAATTTAAGGTTGATATATATATATAAACTTACATACATGGATATAGACATCAATAATAATAATAATAATAATAATAGTGTAAGGGAAGCAATAGTTGGAGTAGTCAGGACAGCAGGACAAGAGAGGATGTGAATAAGTAAAACGATGAGTTTAGATGTCTACTCATAATCAATCCCTACACTACTCCTTTTGGAGTCAACCAAAGCTACGACAGTCGAGTGGCCGGACGAGTTACGCAGAAGTTTACCGAAGATCAGGAACCTATGACTCACAATCAAGAGACGAGCACAAAGAAATCAAATTGATTTATACCAGCTCGTAAAAACGATATTGGATGTTGGATTGATAGTGCATAAGATTTTGAGAGGATACGCCGTTTGGAATCAGCCTTTGTGTCGCTGCATGATTGTCCAGCCTTCGCTTAAAGCTGTTCACAGATGGTGCCGTAGCTATATCTGCCAGTAGGGAGTTCCATGGAAGGAAAAGTCACAGTGAAAAGAAATGGGGGCACACTCGATTCTCTGCCCTCTGGTGAGCTGTCCTTCGTGGATTCCCACGAGGAATCCCATAGGTACCTAATGGTCGAACACCTTTGTTCGGGTGATTGTGGTCATTCGTAATCCTCTAGGCAGTAACCCAGTCCCCCTAAGCCGACAGTAGCTAAGTATGAAGAGACCTAATTTCTTTAGCTGTTCATCATAAGGTTTGTTTCGGAGACCCATCACACTTTTGTCCCCTATATTTGGACTCTTTCCAAAAAATCCACGTCTCTTCTAAGCGGTTGCGGTGCAATCATATTGCGCACTTCAGGGCGTGGTCTGACATATATTTTTTACAACCTTAGAAAGAGCTCAGGAGTGAGTGCACCTAACTGCCTATGTATAAAGTGTATGACCGCATATGCCGTCGCTACATCCCCGTGTAATTTGTACATGTGTCCATTTCTCCCCTAAATCTAGACCTAGTTCACGCTCTGACGTTGTGAATGACAAGCTTTCGTTTCACAAGGTGTAACTTGCATTCTGCGGCCTACAGGTGCATAATTGCACTAATTTATATTTTTCCAGGTTGAAAGTCATACCATTGGCCACCGCCCAGTCTTCCAGATGCTTTAGGTCCACCTGCAGCCTATCTGAGTCTTCCGAGTACTTCGTTGCTCTTCAAATCTCTACGTCACCAGCGTATGGAGGAGTCGTGCAGCTCGGACTGCATGGCAAGCCATTGGCAAAAATTATAAATACCGGTAGCCTTGGGTTAGAACCCTAAGATGCCTCTGGTGACGAGCTGTGCCAGGACGATCGGACTCAGTTGACCTTAGTGCAGTATTTCGTTTCATTTAGGCGGTCCTGCAACAATGACACAAGCTGCCCACCAATACCTGCCTGACTTGTTTTGGATAGAAGTTCATGGTGAACTGTGTCAAATGCCTTCTCAGGATCTAGAATGATCACACAGACTGGAATATTCATATCTCATCATGACGTCCAATTGTTCAAAGCTGATAGTTGGTTTGCCTCACATGATCTGTCTCTCCTAAAACCATGTTTTGCTTCATGAGGCCTATTAGCCCCGTCGAGGTGCTCCCTGTTGTGACCATCAGTTATACTTTCCAGGACTTTTTATACCAGTGGTGGCAATTTGCTTGTCCGTACCATAGAAAGTCAGAGAAAGTAATGTCAATCTCCACTCCCTTGGCAGTTTTCCTGAATTCATCGAGTAATAATAATAATGATTTGTATTTCGTATAAACGGGTATGTTTACAAGAAATGCATTCCATTTTTACAGGCACGATCAGTAATGTTGTAAATTACGATCCTGAAATATCATAAATTAGTACTTTTTCAAAAGTTTAAATTGTTCAGTTATTTTACAAGCAATCAGAACGGGTCCTTATAAATGTTAAATTGCAAACCGTTTACTTAGGGCACCGTCGAAGTTGAGTGACAACCCAAACTTCGTTCCGTTTCCTGCTGATCCTTATGGTCAACCAATGAACAGCGTATATCTAGGTGAGTGCTATGCCGCCACGTGATTGAACGCTATTTCAGGAAGAGCAGAAAATTCTGCGCAGCTGCAAAATGGTGTAAAATGTGATTATGAATAATACATTATTGGAGTATATTTACAAGATAAACACAAGAAGAAGAAGCTATATAATACTTGAAATAATAGTTTACACTTGCAATGTTTAATGCTAACCATATTGGTCTAGGCATGGAAACTATCACGTTTCCGATGAAAATATAGCTTTGTTCAAACATTGGTGTTGTTGTGTTTTTAATCAAAGCAACCAGACTTAAAGCAAGCAACAAATATGAACAAAGAGCAAATTAAAAATTGCTTCAAATATTGGAGTATTTTTATTTTTGATTATAGTTTGATTCCACACCATGTTTTGATACAAGTATGGAATTTCCAGCATATGATGTCGGCAGCCCAAATTTTGCAGGTCGACCATTGATACACCAGGGGAACAGGTCGCATAAGGGCACAGAGAGAGCTTCGGCGCACTGTTTCAGAACAAATGGGTGTTATTTAACCGTAATTCAGGTAATTTAAATATGTAACTTAAATAATACTTATCCATGCCTATACAACTTTTGTGTCCTACACTTGTAGGAATAAATATGTACCTTATTATATTATCATTACTAACTATACTTACTAATGGTATGTGTAATTTATCGAATTGACGATGCCTGTAAACTGGCGTCCCTCATGTAAAAAATTGAGAATATAATATTATTATTATCTGTAGATTCCCTAATAATATTGCCGTGTTTATTTAAAGCGTAGCCATTAGGTCTTCCTTCGGCGAAATAGTAGTGCTGCCATTTCGATCCCTACTGGTAGCAATCACTTTGCTGTTTACCTGTTTGGCAGAGGCTAAACTGAACGTTTCAGCCATCTCCAGACTAGTGAGGTATTGACCGTTTGGAGCTACTAAGACGCACGCCTCTTGGCTGGCCGGTATTCTCTGTGACATGAACTGGTACTGGCCTCTGGGGTTCGCTAGGAGTTCGCTTAGTGTAAACTCCTGCCACTCCTGAGACTCACGTTTCACTAGTTCCTGAGTCCCATGTATGCAACGTGGTTAGTCCAACCCTTGGATATTCGCCACGTAGACCAAGCCTTCTGCTCTGCTTGCAGAATACATCGCGTACTTCTCTTCAGCCATGAGGACCCTTTCTTCGGCTGTGTTGTGGCTAGAGGGACGGTATCTGAGATTGCTGTGTGAATAATCTCTTTAACACTTCCCAGCGTTCATCCACGGATATCTCGGACCATTCTATGGGCCATTCTGAGTCGAGAAAAATCCTTCGCATTCCAGCATAGTCAGCCCTGCTATATTAC